AATCCCCCACCTAACCCTCCCATTAAAAAAATAAAGCCTAATTACCTCCCCCCCGAAAACAAAAACAAAACCCTGTAAATACTGATAAAGAATGCCATTATTTTACTAATTTCTATAAGCAGAGCTTCCCCTTCAAACACACAGACACATGCAATGTCATTTTAGGTTTATTCTGTTTCTTCTAGAACTCTTCAGCTCTTAATGCATGAAAGTTGAATTAATTATTCATTCATTTATTCATAACCATTTCTTGATAACAAAAAAGCAAGGAGTTAGGTAGTAAGTTCAACAGTAATACTGGGTTTTACAAAAACATTGAGTGAAAAGCACAAATTGCAAAGATACACATAAATGTGATGCCATGTTTATAATTTCTTAATCATAGGAGTTGTATCTGTAATGTTTCATTTCTTTAAACTGAAGCAAATATGGCAAAATGTTAACATCTGTTAAATCTGGGTAATAGGTTTTTGGGTGTCTCCTTTTTTCCATACTTCTATGTACACTTGAAATATTTCATAATTAAGCATTTTTAATTTTTTAATAAAATAGGTACTATGATAGGGAGTGACAGGGGCTACTTTAGATTGGTTGATCAGGAAAGGTCTCTCTGGGTAGGTAACATATTGAGACCTGAACAACAGGAAGAAATTGGCTCATACAAAAAACGTACAGAAAGTATTACAGGCGGAGAAACAGCTATTGCTACAGTCCTGAGGCAGAAACAACTGTGACATGTTCAAGGAAAGAAGGCAATTCTAGCCTATCTGGTTGTAAAACCAACAGTGTTGCTATGGAGGTAAATGGTCATTTAGTCTCTGAGTACTTGAATGAAGCTCACCATTTTCAGACTAATCTTCATCTTGTATCATGTAGTTCCATGTAGGGCTTACAGGCTAATGGTGATAAGATGTATCAAAAGGACACACAGTTTGGGCTGAAAGGTTTCTCAGTGGTCAAGTCAGGGACACTTTGAGCACCAACAACAACTTAAGCAAGTGGTTAGACTTGGTATTATGAGCCTCCTTGATGTGATGCAAGAAGAGGTACCCAGCATCACCTAAATTGTATCCCTGGTAACAATGTTAAACTGGAATCTAATCATGAGGAGGAAACAATTTGAAAAATCCAGAATATGGAACATTTTGAGACAACTGGCCTGGACTTTTCAAAAGATTCAGTGTTATGAAAACAAAGGATTAGGGTATTTAGAAATGAAGTGGTATTTTGTTTGCAGTTAAGTTTCAAATAGTTCATCAAAAAATGTGTGTATGTGTGTTTATAGAGATAGAAACAAATGGGTTAACAGTTGGTGAACGAAGGAAGTGAAAGGCTGTGTGTGTGTTCATTGTAATATTCTTTCAACTTTTAAGTTTTTAAATATTCAGAATTTAAAGTTGGAGAGGATGCTTATTCCTTTTTTGAACCCAAATCCAACTTTTTAATGTTTTTTGCTTATGGGTTTAATTGTGCTATTTTAAGCCACACTGACAGATCCAAATTCTTCCCTATATGATATTAGTGGTATTGTCAGTGGTAATTCTGGTCAATTACACATAACGTTTGTTGAGTATGTAGTATGATATGCCAGACATTGTGCCAAACACATTATTTCAGTTAATCCTTCTAACAACTCTTGATTTAGTATTCATTTCTCCTTTTAAAGATGAAAGGACAGACTATTAAAAAAAAACTATCACTAAAGCAACAGGGAAAAAAGGCATTTCATCTTACGATGAAAATGTGAATTTGTGAGGCAGGCTAGAATATTCATTGGTGAAAGCAAGATAGAAAAGTTTGTGATAAAGTCACTAGGCATGCCTATTTTTCTGGCCTTGAACTTATTCTGTATATCATTGAGAGACAAGCTAGTGTGGTTAAGAGCACAGTCCCTGAAGCCAGATGCCTGGGTTCAGATTCCGCGATTTACAGGTTGTTACTGCCTGAGAAGCACATCTCCAGAATTCCTACTGGGAACCTTATTAGTTTTCTGTTGTAGTTGTCACAGATGACTACAAGCCTGGTGGCTTGAAACAACACAAATTTATTATAGCTCTGGAGTTCAGAAGTCCACAATAGGTCTTACCGGGCTGAAATTAAGGTGTTCGCACAGCTGCACTTCCACAGGAAGTTCTAAGGGAAGTTGTTTCCTTGCCTTTTGTACTTTCTAGAGGCCACCCACTTATTGGCCTCCTTTGCCCAAACCAGCAATGTATCTCTCTGAACCTTTCTTCCATAGTAACATCTCTCTCTGACTCTCATATTCTCCTCCTTCTACATTTAAGAACACTGGTGATTACTTTGGGCCCACTCGGGTAATCTGGACTAATCTCCCTATTTTAAGGTCAACCCATTAGCAACCTTAATTCCATCTACAACCTCAAGTCCTCTTTGCCATGTAATCTAACATGTTCATGGGTTCCAGGGATTAAGGCATGAACATCTTTGAGGGACCATTTTTCTCCAACACATATGTTTGGATTCTATAGTTATGTAAGGCAGATGGGGCCAGGAGAAGATGATTCCAAAGTGGAGATCCTGACTAATGCTGAAGACTATGAGTAGGACCAATAATTGGGTTTGAGCTAAAAGGAATTACTAAGCAGTGCATGTACATGTTTTTAAATTCTCTTACTGGCATAAAGTATATATGGTAGATTCAGTATTCAAAAAGTGATTGAATTAGAAGGAGGCAACTGAATTTTATTACATTATGGAAGGGAAATGATTAAAATATTAGATTTTTTTTCTATTGTTTTGTGCCAGCCCTCAGAGGGAAATGTCCTTGATTTAATTACAATGTGGAGATGCTTTGGGTTTAATTTTGATTTTTGTTTTTATTCCAGATTTTTACTACCCTTGGATGCACACCTGCTATGGAGAAGATTGAAGAACAGTTTGCTAATTTGAACATTGTTAAACGTTCCTCAGAAACTAAAGAACCTACGTATTTGCTTGGCATAGACACCTCAAAGACTATACAAGCTGAAAAAGGAAGCTTGGTTGCTGTTTTATGTTCTAATGGATCAATCAGAATATATGATAAAGAAAGGTTAAATGTACTACGAGAATTTAGAGGCTACCCTGGACTTAGTGGAGTCAAATTTGCACATTTCTGCGACAGTGTGTATTCATCATGTACTGATGGCACTGTAAAATGTTGGGATGCACGACTAGCCAGTGGAAAACCTGTCCAGCTGTTCAAGGGTTACCCTTCTAATATTTTTATCAGTTTTGATATCAACTGTAATGATCATGTTATTTGTGCTGGTACAGAAAAAGTTGATGATGATGCATTGTTGGTATTTTGGGATGCAAGAATTAATTCTCAGGACTTGTCTGCTACTAAAGACCCACTTGGTGCATATTCAGAGACGCACAGTGATGATATCACTCAAGTATGTTTCCATCCCAGCAATCCCAACATGTTAGTTTCAGGTTCAACTGATGGCCTGGTAAATGTATTTGATATTAGTGTTGATAATGAAGAAGATGCACTGGTTACAACCTGTAACTCAGTTTCATCAGTAAGCTCTATTGGTTGGTCTGGGAAAGATTATAAACAGATTTACTGCATAACACATGATGAAGGATTTTGTTGGTGGGATCTTAATCATCTGGATACTGATGAACCAATTACACGTTTGAACATCCAGGATGTCAGAGAAGTAATTGATGTGAAAGAAGGTATTTTGGACTATTTGATTGGTGGCCTGTATCATGAAAAGACAGACAAATTATTTGTTGTTGGAGGAACATACACAGGAATTATTCACGTAATGAGCTGTACTACATCAGGATTGGTCCATGTGACCAGCCTTCAGGGAGGGCATGCTGCTACAGTCCGTTCTTTCTGTTGGAACATGCAGGATGATTCTCTGCTAAGTGGAGGAGAAGATGCACAGTTGTTACTTTGGAAACCTGGAGCAACAGAGAAGACATTTACAAAGAAAGACAGCATGAAAATAGCATCCTCTGTGTACCAGCGAGTTCGAGTTCACAGTAATGATTCTTACAAGAGAAGGAAAAAGCCGTGATGTTACATTGGGAGTTTACTTGGTAGGTTTTATAATTGCAAATAATTATTTCAGTGTACTACTTGTGGTAGATGTGTTTAAAGCTCATATGTAAAAACAAGCCAGTTAGCACACAGTCCTAGAAAAATGTTGAGAATGGTTTAATTCAGGTCTTCATGTATTCTAAAATAATTATTTTTTTTAAGCTGCCAGTTGAGTATATAATCAGTGAGTTGAAAGTAAAATTACATTCCTCATTTTGAAAACCCATCTGTTAAATTAGTAAATGTTGGGTTTAAAGAAATAGCTTTGATAAGGACTTTTTAGAAGTAGAAGTTTTTATGACTTTAAAAACAGGTGGTTTGGGCTGTGTTTTTTAAGCTCAATTTTTTTACATTTTAAATCATCTTCATTATTTATAAAACTAAATCAGACTGTTTTCTTCATTTGAGAAGCTCCTACTTGCTTAATATATATATTCTAATGAGTCTAAATAGAATTAAACTTTTTCAGAAAGAAAGTGATTTGCATTTATCTGAAAAAATATATTTAGTAAATATTTGCATCTATAATATTGTTGGTTAAACAGTAAACAGATGTTTCACTGATGAAAGGGAAATTATCTTGCAAAATTCATTTGAGACTCAGTGAAAATCTAAAAATGAAAGTATTTAATAGAATGATTTTTAATTTCAAAGTATTACAATACTTTTTGGTAATACTTTATTCTATAGTGTTTCATCCATCTATAATTTTAAACTTGAATTTTTGTTTACTGCTAATTTTTCCATCCTTCCTTTTAAATTATTTCTCCAAAGAATCTTAATTAAAAAGTTGACCCCTCTAACATTTTGGTATCTTTTCTTGTTTAAAACTGAAAATATTTATTTACTTATTTATATGTAAAATATTTATATTCTTTGAATTAGAAATATTGTCATGAAAATCACAAATGTTACTTTAGAACCTTTTACATTTCTCTTTAAATGTTAATAATGACTTATTATCTCTGAAACTGTAACGCTAAGGGAAATTTTTATTTTTCCATAAGACATTTGCAACTTAACATTTATAATTTTTTTTTGGAGGGGGGAAGTAGTTAGGTTTACTTATTTATTTTTAATGGTAGTACTGGGGATTGAATCCAGGACCTCGTGAATGCTAGGCACACACTTTACCACTGAGCTATACCCTCCCCAGCCACAACTTAAATTTTGATATGATCTAGCTTAAGTCATAAGAGACTGAATAATAGGTAAGTCACTGTTAAACATATTAAAAATATTTTATTCTTATTTGGAGAAATCCAGCTATTCTTGGTTGTTGTCCAAACCATAAACCTGAGGGTAATTTAGTACTTTTCTCTTTTTTCTTAACCAATCACTGAGTCCTGTGTCATTCCACCTCCTAAAATCTGTCAGCCTGTTCTTTTGCCTTTACCCCACCACTGCTGCCTTAGGTCAGACTTTTCATCATTTCTCTCTTAGATTACAGACTGTCTCTAATCTGCTCCAATTCATTCTCCCTGCAACTTACAGACTGAGCATTGAAAGTATAGATTTGATCATGCTTCATGCTGCTTAAAATCTTCTGTACATTTTGATCTTTTGATGGAGGACTTTGTAAAAGTAGAAAACCATGTTTTCAAGATACTTAGGATATAAGACAATGCTGACTATGTTGTAAGCAGAAAAAGTTGGTAAAAAAGACTTGGTGGGGAGGGTATAGCTCAGTAGTAGAGCACATGCCTAGCAAGCACGTGGTCTGGGGTTTAATCCCAGTACCTCCATTAAAAATAAGTAAATAAATAAAAACCCAATTACTTCCCCCCCAAATAAAATAATAAATTTAAAAAATTTTTAAAAAAGACTTTCAGAGACTGCACCTATAAAATATCAGGAACTTCAATAGGAGTTACCAAAACAGTAGAGCTTTAAATTTTTTTTTAAATTCTGAAGTAATTTTTAGAGTTGTAAGATAAAAGTGAGGAAATACCTCTGAAAGAGACAGAAAGTGAGAGAAAAGATAAAGGTCACAGAAGATAAATATAGGGGGTCTGATATCAGACTGGCAGTTTTACAAAGTGGAAAAAAAAATATGAGGTGTAGGGAGGGATTATTAAAATGGAATTACATGTTGTTCTCCCAGAACTTCAGTCTTCAAGTTGAAAGGCCAACAGAGTGTCAAGTGTACTGAATGAGAAAGACCCACATAAGACACAGCACTGTGAACTTTCAGAACTCCAAGAATAAAGAGAAAATCTTAAAAGTTGCTAGAGAGGGGAAAAGTCAAACACTAATCACTTAGGAACAAGAATAACATCTTGAGGGGGCAGGTATAGAACAAGTGGTAGAGCGCATGCTTAGCATGCACTGAGTCCTATGTTCAAACCCCAGTACCTCCTCCTCCTAACAAA